CTTCTATGATGTCACTTCCTGTTGTTGTTTTCACATAAGGATCAGTTCATTTTGTGTGTTTTATGATGGAAGATACTCATACATTATGTTACTCGACTGTTGTGATGCCTAAAATTGTTAAATTTTTATGAACCAAAGATGGATGTCTTAGGCCTATTTTAGGGGGGCTGAAGCCACCCTAACATGGTTCTAAGCCCCCCCAAATAATAATAAGAAAATTAATTATTAGATTAACATTTTTTTATTATAATCATTTTGTTTTACAGTGCAGACATGTACTCAACAAAGAGAAGCAATAATGTTGATAAATACTATAAAATAATACTATAGCATTTAAGTCACAGCCTCCAGAAGAACTCAGTCTGGCCAGTGAATTCCCCCCATGCAGCGTTGATGTGTGTAAAAGCTAAAGCTCGCGCTGCAGTGACAGATAGGATACCTGCTGCTCAGGTGTGTCTTTGTGCTCACACACTGTCACTAAAAATGATGCTTTTTAAGTGAATGTTCATCATTTGTTCACCTGATGCTTTTAAAGGCATCATGTAGTCTTTGTTGCAGCACTGAATTACAGTTACATAAAACAGTGTTAAAAAACATCACATCTTGTTCTCTTGATATATATATATAGGCTATACATATACAAAACATCCATGAGGAGGACCCACCCACCTTTATTTTGCTTCTAACGCCCATGTAACATTACAGTAACTTGTTCAACAGAGGAGAAATGGAAGTATTTCTGTCGCTTTTTATTTGTTAACATCTTTGCTCCTTCACTGGTTGTTGACATACAGTAAGTGTAGTTCTAATACAGTAACAAAAGATGCGAGTGCAAAGATTTTGCAGGTGCAAATTAAGCACACCCTGGGGGCTAAGCCAGGGACGTCACCAGGATTGAAAGACAGGGGGCAGGGTGTCCGCGGGGTCTTAAAAAGTCTTAAAAGGTTATAAATCAATTTTGCAAAAATTAAGGCCATTAAAAAGTATTAAAAAGTCTTCATCACCATTTAACAAGGTATTAAATTTTGAAGATTTTTTTCAATGTTTGTTTGTTAAAAGTATGGGTGGCATGTGGGTTTGGCTAACGTTAGCTGGCTATTTAGCTAAATCGGTGCCTTTTATTGAAACACGTTAAACTTTTCATAAAGCCGATGCTCGTCAGTGTCACTTTTTGTGAACAGATCAACCACAGCCTGGATGGAGCGGGATTTAAAAAAGTTTGATGTGCTGCAACAAACTTTATAAATGTTGAACTCAGTGTTCTGCATAAACGGTTATGATTATTGATGAGTTAGTAGCCCACCATCAAGGTTGGAGACTATCAGGTAGCCTTGAGCATTATTCTTGCACAAAGTTAATGAATAAAAAACAACCCCAAACTGAAACAGCTGTAATTTGAATTAATATTATACTAGTGGTAAGTAATATTCTATTATATGAAATTATATTGAATATAGTAACATAATGAATATATTAATACTAATACAGTCATTTAGACCAGTTCCTCCTCCAGGTTGTGCATGTGCTACACGGCCAACACTATTATTCATCACTCAGTTTATTCTCTTCATCTTTGTTCCCTCCTGGCCTATTTGAATTTTGTTGTATTGATCAAGTGGTGGATGAAAGTTATCACACATAGCATTGCAGGCAAGCTCACATTATCTAGTTTAAACCAACTAAAACACAAAATCACACTGTTTCACATGATTTTCTGTAATGTTGCGTACATAAACGTCATAGCTTATGTAAGACAGCTGCTTTTCCCAGGAAATCTGACCTTCACATAGAAAACTGTTGGCCCATACAGGCTGTTATAGGCAACTGAGAACGTTGGTGAATGCTTAAATTTTTAGGTGGCCTTACAACCTGATGACATATATGCAATAAATATGTTATAAATATATTTAAATTCCTTTTAAAAACCTAAATGTCCCTTTTAAAGGTGTGGCTGATTTAATCGGTTACAGCTCAAAGTGGCGCGGCAGTCATAAAATATCTTGAAAAAGTCTTAAAAGGTCTTAAAAAGGTATTGAATTTTACTTCAAGATTCCTGTATATACCCTGGGGGGGTCTTTCAATCCTGGTGACAAAATAAAGATTTTCATGATAACTAAAAAGGATCAGTTCATTATTTCTATTTATTTATTTATGTATGGATTGCATTAGTCATATCCTAAGTTCATGAGGGACATGCCAACCATGTCAACTGAAAAAACAAGATTTGTGATATAAAGATAAAATGTATGTAATGTTTTTACACTTTATTAAGGGGATATTTCAAGTGATACAAAAAGCTTTTAAAAAAGATGTTATTGACCCAATAGATGAATTACACTTAAAAAGGTCAGAAGGACTCAAATCATGCTGGTTTTGTGCAATGACTCTGTTACCAACTGCTGCTTTAGAAGAACTCAAGACGTAGCATCGATAACTCAGGAAGTTGTGGAGATATCTACCTGCATGCTTTTAGCAGGAGAGGCTGGATTGAGTTAAAGGCACTGGAGGAGTCAAAGACCACGATCATCCCACTGTTGAACCTATTGAAAAATACCTTCAACTTCTTAACAAACTCCCAACCAGCTAGCTAGTATAGGATAACATTGCACAGCTAGCAGTAAACATGCTAGCACATTAGCTGGCTAGCAGCAGGGCTAGCTGGGTAATGCCATGGAGGCAGTCACGTGACCCTAGCTTTGAAGGCTGTAGTGGTCCCTTGAGAGCCAGTGATGGTCAGTCTTGAGACCAGGTGACCCTATGAACGAAGGCCTTTTGCACGACTGTAGCCTGATAAGCTGCGCTGGCTGCCTAAACCAGAGCCACAAAACCTCCATCTGAACACTGTGACCTCTCTGTTTCTCTTTCTCTGTCCTCTTCACAACCTCGCCCCATTTCCTCCAGTCATTTAAACACCCTCTATTCGCCTCAGTTAAGCAAACAGCAGCAGTGCTTGGGTTAGCTAATCCTGTAATGGATATCACCGGCTGATTACATTTCTGGCCAGACCAACCCTGCTAGGTTTCATCACACTGCTGCTGGAGTCAGTTTAGACATGTCTTCCTTTTTTCTTCAGCAGGAAGGCTGGGAGAGAGCAATGTGTGAACTGAACCCTACGTTCACCTTGAAGGAGGTCTGGGATCGACTGTGGGCCCTGAAAGTACACATGTTGCGAGCAGATATCTGCTGCGGAGGTAGGTAGAGAGGGAGTACAAATCTTGGGCCGTTTCACCTCTGATGCACCCACATATGATGGTACTTTGCACTACAATGCAGTGTTTTCTGTCACTTATTTGGAAGAAGCAAAACTAGAATATTCACTCTGTAAAAGTTCAAAGATAGTCATTCACATGGATTAAAAAAACAGGTAAGCAAGAAAGAAAAAATGGAAAAAAAACAGAAGTGTTGCCATTAAAAGAATGGAAGGGAAGGAGAAATGAAGGAAATAAAGGAAAAGAATGGAAGAAAGAAGGAAAAGAAAGGAATAGGAAGGGGGAAAGAACGATAAAACAAATGGAGGATGGCAGGAAAGAAATGAGAGTGGTCAAAAGGAAAGGTAGAAAAGAAAATGCAGAGGAGTAAATGAAGGAAGCAAGGTAAATGCATTATGTAAATGAAAACAGAAAGATTTATTTATGCCTTTTAATAATACTTTATTTTTGATAATCATCTTATTTAATCTCCAAATGACATTCACAGTTTAGTGACTGCACATAGAAACCAACTGTGTTCAGCGCAGGTTACTCATATCACACGTCTAACAAGAAACCTTCAACGGGCTCGTTTATCCTGCTGTCCTCATCACCTGACACAACCTGCTACATCAACTGCGTACTGAACATCACGCAGGTCATGACATCCAATGAAACGCAAGTATCCTCATTCAAAAAGGCACTTCCTTTGTTTTGTAAAAGCTTGTACAGTCAGGGGAGGACATCTTCATTTTTTGCTTAACCACACGACCATCCAAAACATCTCCAAGCTGACCTGCTATCATGATGTGAATGGGCTACATATGGAGTTACACAATGATGTTACACTGAGGAGTTTGGCAACATGATCATCACATGCAGACTGGCTGTTAGTCAGACATCAGCAGTACCGTTTAGCTTCAGGGACCATTTTGCATCACCAGAACGACTCGGGACAGCAGGAGAACCAATGTAAACTCAGTTTATCCTGCTTGTTTTCTTTTGTTGTTTTTTTTGTTGTTGTTTTTTTTACATGTAACAGTAACTCGAAACAGATCCAGTTACATGAGCTCAGGGTCCTTTATGGCCATTAATTAAAGGAACAGACTGGTGTAGTGAGATATGTTTGTTTTCTTATCCAAAGATGAGAAGATTAGCATCGGTTTCATCTCCAGGTCCAGCTAGTGTTTAGCCTAGCTTAGCAAAGAAAAGGGTGGAAACTGATAACTAGCTCCATTAAAAGATGGGAAAAATACACGTTTAAAAAATCGTTTTTAAAAAAGTGTTTAAACCAGGTAACTACGACAGGACTCAATATGTTGCATGCAGCAGTGTAGCTAGACGCAAAAAAACAAATCATTGGAGACTCCAGAATTTTGAGCTGACCTGAACGCTCTGCTTCTGGGTGAAGTGAACGTTCTTAAAGCTCCCAACATGGAATTCGGGACAGCCCAACCAGAATTTCTGGGCAAACTACTGAACTTAACACACAACTGATTTAGTTACAGTCCAGGACACACTGTTGTGTGTTACAAGCAAATAGGTTACAAGGACTGTGTTCCTGTAACATGAACCACACTGAAAGAAAGGGTTTGACAGGTGGAAGTCCAGCTTCATGAGGTATCCAGGCTCAGTTTTCCACAATACATTCTTGACATAGTTAAGGTGATGAATAATTACACTGTATCCAAATCAGCTCCATACCATTTGGCCGTTATAAAAATCAAACAAAAAAATAGCTCCAACACTAACTGCTCCTGAACACATCATTTCTTGTTTTTACAATTGTAATTTTATTCAGCAGACAAATACGTATAAATACACAGTTGGAGTAAGACAGAGTAAGGGGCTAGGCTTGCAGTTTCCCCCTGGTTCTATTCTTTGTGCTAAGCTACGATAAGCCCATCCTGGGTCCACTGGAGATTCACTTGACTCTGGGTGAGACTGGACTGTTTCTTTGTTGGCGTACACTCCGAATTAGTCTGATAGGGGCCCATAAGCAAAAATGAGCTGATCAGCCGCCCCCCCACCCCCCAAGTTAGCTTGTGATCATTGACTACACACAGATTTAATAAAAAAATAAATCCCCTGTAAGCACCTTAGCAATGGAAATATTACAGGTAACAATGCAGGAGCCACTTTCATGGCCTTATCAGAGTATATTCAGTGTACATTAGGTGTCCATGTAGCCAAACCAATTTATTGCCACATAGTGATGCTGGGGCCTTTGGAGCCCTGGTCCGCTCCAATTGGCCCAGTTGATAATCCAGCCACGCGTACACTAGATTTTAGTTCAGGTTACATGCTTGACACAAATTGTTAATCATGTAACAGCAAGGGAAAATGATCCTTCCAACTATGGAGTTATAAGCCATGATAAGCACCTATGTGACCCTGGAATGACTGTGCTGACATGCACACCAACGGTACTTCGTTTGGGGGAATATTCCAGGATTTCCATTATTAACATGGTACATTGAGGCATGCATTCATTAAAAATTGAAGGAGAATTTAATTTTAAGCTAAACTTTGAATTCTGAAAAAGACGTCCTTGATCTTTAAGCCACTAGAACCACATTTGCTAAAGACAAACAGAACACTGTGTGCATGTTAACACATTCAGCAGCAACCTATCACACACTGTTCACCTCAGTTGCCCGTCTCCTCTCATATACAATTTAAAAATACAAGAATAAGAAAAATACTCTCCATATTTTACACATATTATAAAATTTTCTCTTACATAAAAACTTCTCCCAGGTAATGAAAATCTCCCTCGTTTCATAATCTCACATTTACATTTTACAGTAACATACATTAAAATGAAAATGGACTGTGTGTGTGTGTGTGTGTGTGTGTGTGTGTGTGTGTGTGTGTGCATTAAGCAGTTGTTGACATCAAACACAATATTCTGGTCAGGTGCACTTGATTTATCTTTCCTGGCTCTTGAACAGCATCAGTGGACTTGGATGACATATTAGGCACCCCTAATGCCTTCCTTAAAACTCCTCCAGATAGTTGCTAGTAGCATTTTAACAAGCAACATGATCAGAAAGGCTGTGTGTAAAACCTGCTGACCAAAGTGGAGAAAACTTGGATTAGTGCTTAAAGGTTTCATTTCTAAAACTCAGTACCATGTTTTAACGATAATCAGCAGCCAGGGATTGACTGGAGAAGCTACAGCTGCTTCTGGCTCCATGGCGGCTCTGCCTTTATTCAACTGAATTTTGGCACGTCAGGAGACAGTTACATTTGGCTGTTCTATACACACAGACCAGTGCTGGGATCAGTTGTGGTGTAGGACTGCTACAGGAAAACACAAAGCCCAAGCAAACCAAACTTTAAATTGGTAAGTCTTCTGTGTAACTGTATGGTTTAGCTGTGAAACGTAAGGAATGGGTGACAATGAGGAATTGTGTGGAAAAGTGTGACAGCTGTCTCATATAAACGGGTCCAACAAGGATTGAACGTGTGTCCGCTAGACCAGCGCACACATCCCCTGTCAGAAAGAGATATTAGACAAACCGCTTTATCTTTGCGGGAGCTTTAAGCTTCGTGCTTCGTGATCCTTTGAAAAGGTCATGGCTCTCATGGAAATCAATTCTTTCTTTTTTCCGGTAAGAGTTCAACTCGATTACCTCTCGGTGTTAACAGCTGGCTCACAAACTGCTTCACTCACAAATGGCAACTATTTACCATAATAGTTGCTTTTAACCAGTTAAAATCACATTTCTTTCAGTGCATTGAATGGCTCTTATGTCTATATGGTTTGCTTGACTTGTGTTCAACATGGAGCATAAACTGCGTTTTCCTCTGCCTTCTCCAGGGCACAGTGACTGTTCTGAGCAGGATTACATCAACACGGCACTGAAGGAGCATTGACACTGTCAGAGGACACTAACACAAGCACACTTAGGGTGTTATGACTTGTTTAATTTCTGATGAATCTTAATCTATTGCATCCAGTATAAATGCAGTTGGGGCAGGCTGGCATCACCCAAGGCCAAGCTGGCGGAGAGGATGCACGTCTTCTGTTGGACGTCATGTAGCTGATATTATTTTGTAAACATTATTGTGACATTGATTCCATTTGACAGTCAGACCAAAAATATTTTGGTGTAATTGGAAGCAGAATGTGAGATAGAGGAGTCAGTAAAGAAAGAGCGCAGTGTGTGACTGAGTCAGCCAACATTTCTGACTGTAAGGCAATACCCCCAGAGCTCCAACAACAAAGACTGGACTCACACACACAGGTTCATATGACCCAGATAACAGGGCCTCTGTGTCCCATACTGCACTGCTCTCAGTCTGAAGGTCCTTATTCTGGCCCTACTCCCTGATGTTTAACAGTGTGTTTGTGTGCATATGTATGTGTATATGTGATTAGAGCAAGTTCGGTAGGAAGGGAGGCTGGTGTCTCTGCTTCTTTATATATAGTGTGTAAATCATGAAGAATACTCACTGTGTACCTGCATCAGCCATGTGACATAGCTTTCCATCTCCCCCTGCCCCTTTGTCTGAATAACAGCTGCTGAAATTGTTGTGCAATGCCAAAGCTGTCTAATAATATAGTCAACTGACCACCTTTTTTTAATAATGTAAAAACATGTATATCCAATGTATATTTCATTTTAAATTAAACTAATGAGATGAATCAACATTATTGTCTGATAATTGATTAAGTTAATTACAAGAAATTTAAAAAGCAAATAAAAAAATGGCTAATACCTCTCACTTTAACTGGTTCAGCCACATAACGTTTCCTTCTCTCTGTTCTGCTGTCCTGTACATAAGTTGGATTTTTGGGATTTCTAACACAAATCAGGGCACTATTTCGGTGTTGCAAGTAAAACGACCGGTGCAAAGTGGTACAGCACAGACTGTGGGAGTCTTCACTTGCTGTTTAGGTGACTGAAGGTGATTATAGAGCAGAGGCTGTGGTGATTCATTAATATGCTCTCTGCCAATCACAAGAATAAAAAGTTTAAAACAGTTGGAGCTGCTTGCACTGGTTGTAGTGCTGCCACGGAAATAGAGCCCTTATTTCATTGTCTTGTTGTACTGCAGTTAACGGGGATGTTTGTGATTGCTGTTTCTGCTTGTTTGTTGGTTTTGTTATACTTCACCAGCAATTTTGGGATAGAGATGATTTCTTAAGTATGCTGACATCAAACTGACTCATGGCCTTTACAAGAGCATTTTCAATTATTTCTCAAAGTTGTTGTCCACACTGATCAGTTAACACATTATGGCATTTCAATCATTTCTCTGGGGTGAATATAAACCTTTTTTTTTACGTACAGAACCTGATATTTCAGCTCTGTACATTAGCAAAAGTCAGTGTTGTTTTACCTGTAGATTGTGAAAGCCCATAATCCACCAAGGCTGGCAAGGGGTAAGAAGCTAGCAGAACCCGCTGTCCTGTATCTCTGCGGTGCTGTCAGTGTCAAACACTCAGAGTCAGTCCACTTTACAAGAGGAACTATCAGAGAACCAACAGCAAGAACCTTTAAAAGAAAAGGTGCTGCTGAGTCTGGCTGACGGAAGCACAGCCATCTGTAATTGTCATGGTTACAGCACTCTGTGGTTATATTTCATTGTTCTGACTGTTACAGTGTAGCTGTCAGTGTTGCCGTGGTTACAATGTTATTATGTTGCCATCTTCTCTCATGCTGTCTTGACTGCTACTAGACGTGTGGGCAGGGTTTCCGTTGTGATTGGACATCATCATGGAGCTGTCACTCAGGGATGCCCCAACGCTATTGGGCAATGACACACTCTGTGGGAGGGGCCTAACCACAGTGGAGTTGTGCGGCCTGTTGCTAGGTGAGTCTCTGTTGAGGTTGGTATTGTTGCTGTTGGTTACCCGGTGGGAGTCGAAGGGTGTCAGACAGTCATTCTCCAGAATGAGGTCGCCATCGTCATCTTCATCGTCACTGTCGCCCTCTGCAATGCTGTTGCTGTGGTAACAACAGACAAGAGAGCAAATAATGATTATAGAATTAATCTAGAAATGCACTGACAGAGAAATGCTAACCTTCTGTTGAACCTTCATTTATCTGTTTTTGTCCACTTTGTTCATCTGATGAACTTGAGTCCAGTATTCTCTCTCTCTGTTAGCTCTGTTTTAGTCTCCACCAGCTCCTGAGGGAAACATCTGGCTCTTTAGCTGCAAAAGGCTCCACTGTTCACCAGTTCGTCTCTAACTGTGTCTGTCTGCTGTTTGCTGCTGAGCAGGTCGTGGCGGAGGCTTTATCAGAGCTTTGTCAGGGAAAACATCTGCCTGCTGCCGCGGCCATCACTGCGATGAGACGGAACCACAACAATAAAGTTGTTGCCTTAAAAACCAAAATAATGTGCAGGGAGAGGCTTACAGTAAAATCTCATAGAGCTGAGGGGAACTGCAGAGTTGGTGATAATTCTGTTTGGTGTATGGTTGATTAATGCTGGTTTTCTGTTGAAGTCCTGAAGCTACATTATATTGCCACAGTTTGAACTGATGTATGTGCAAACTTTTCATCGTGTTCAAGGACAAATTGCTGGAATTTTTCATTTCTTTCTGCACTAAAGATATGAAATATAAAAAGGTAAGTGAGGTTTTAGCCACTACAAGAAAAGTGAAAACACTGTTTGGTTGTCATAAGCCAGACCGTATTTAGTTGTATCACCGCTTTGAAAACATGAATAATTGCTTATGAACTCAAAGTCTGATACTAATGAATCTTGTCCCATCTGTTTGGGACAGACAGGGGGGCTTTGGTTCATCACTGACATCACAACAGATCATGGGGTGTCACAGTGAAGATGTTTACATTTACGCTTGTAATTCTTTAACCAGGAAAGGCTTTTAAAAAATGTGAATTTAAATGTTCTTGTAGACATATTATTTTAGGGCTGCTGTCATCATGTTCGATTACATAACCACAAAATGGGTGCAATTTAATAAAACATAAAAAAGGTGTGTGTGATGCTGTCTTCTCTGTGTGCGCTGCAGTCTGCTCATTATCTCCGCCCACACGGGCTCTCGCATGTGGCTCTACAGACATATGGGCCTACTGTGCAATCAGAAAAATGATTCATGGGCAGTGTGCAAGTCATTTTTAAGACAACAACCTACAGTAACCCCCGCCCCACCGATAATCATTCAAAACATAGTCGGACTCGCCTCCGGAGCACCGAGAGAAATTCCGGTGACAGAGACAGGGAGACTGCAGACGAAGCGGTCAGACAGAAGAAAAGTGGGAGAAGATAAGGAAGGTTTGAGTATGGTTCGCCGGCCATTTAACGTTAGCTGTATCTGTTTTGTTGTTCAACATGTTTTCACAGAGCCGACGTCCTTGCCAGTGACTTTTCGTCAGCTGACCAATCACAGCCTGGATGGAGAGGGACATTAAAAAAAGTTTCATGTGCTACAGCAAATCATTAAATGTTGAACAATATGGTTATTGACAAGGTAGTTCATTGCATTAATAAATAGAACATATGTAGAGCCTTTTTCTTGCACGTGGATTTAATAAATAAAAACAACCCACAGAAATGAAACAGCTGTAACTGGATTTAATATTCAACTAGTGCTAAAATAGTACACTATTATATGAAATTCGAATGAATGTAGTATTCAATATATTATTGTTATACTAACAGTGTACTATTAACTAAACATTATACTCTTTATTTGATACACATCCAGTTCCTCCTCCAGGTTGTGGATAGAGACTCTGCATTAGACAGATGTACATGAAGCCAGTGTGCCAATATGTGCTGCTTCAAGCCGCCTCTTTCTGACAGCAAGCTGCTCCCCTTTACATCTGTTTTACTGTTATTGTTAGAAATATTGTTTATTGTTAACTTGTAAGTCCTTGTTTTGTGGATTTTCTTGGCATGAATGAGCACAAAGCTGGCGCATAAAATCAGCAGCTTCAGTCTAAGTCCCTCTGTCCAGTCCATGTCATACCTTGCAGTAATGGGGTTGCTCTGAGAGGCGGGGCTTGGTGAGTCATGTGACAGAGCGGAGCTCGTAGATCCAGCTGAGCCCACAGAACCAGAGTTGCCTACTGAAGTTTTACTCCCACGATGCACCACATTGTTCCTCTGGTTAGCCGGTTTGACAGTCACTATGAGGTTGTGACTGTTGGCCACCATCATGTCCGTAACCTGAAATGACAGATATACCAATCAGACATGTCTCCAAAGTTCCAAGGCAAATGTTCTTAAATATATTTACAGCAGTGGGACAAAACATTTGGTCAATGATCTGTTTGTTTGTCGATTTACCATAAAATAATGCCCAGAATTGAACACTTTGTTAGTTAGTTGCTAGTTTCACAATAAAAGAAACCCTGCCAAAAACAAGAAAAACATCCTCCTTACTATGTGAGATCCCTGAAATGATCAATGATATTGATATGAATACTGACAGGTTAATGCATTTGGTTAATAGGGCTATCCCCTAAGGATTACTTTGTAGAATCAGATTTGTCAAGTGTTGCCTAGGTAAGCCAGGTAGCCAAGGTAGCTCCGCTTTAATCTTGAGAAGCTGCATAGCTTTATCGCGGTTCTTCGCGGGTCTATTTGAAGTAACTAATATTATATCGTTTAAAAACGATATAATATTCTTTGTGTGGTCCATCGATGGTGATAAATGATCCGAAAGTCCCGCGAGGTGCGGACAACTCAGCACAACACCAAGGTGTGCTGTCTCTCAACCTGACCACACACACTTGCATTGGCTACGTAATACACATACATAGCTACGCCCACACATGTGCTCTGACACCCCTTTCCTTAGGGTTAGGGTTATAATTTTGGATTTTGTTCACGCACTTTAACCACTTGACGCCTGAATTTTATTACAAAAAAAATTTGATTTGTGTTTTTACTTGCTTTCTAGCTGATGTTAAATTAAGTGAAGATTGTTAATTTGTCTATAGAACATAGAAAAGATATCAATTCAGGATGATGTAGGTATGATGCAAATTAGTGCCAACAGGCATAAACGAGAAACCAGGGCTTGCAAAAGGTTCCTAGCTACGTATGGAATATGCACAAAC